CTGAACAAAAAGCCAAAGAAACAAGCTTAAACAATGGCTCGAAGCTGGAAGCTGAAAGCTGAAAGCCAAAAGGAAAATAAAAACAAACCAAGGCTAAAACAACAACCAGAGCACCAAGATTGCGAAGAGATTAAAACCTCGACCAGGCTTAATTGAGCGGAGGAGCAGCGGGGAAATGGCAATCCACATCGCGTATACGCGATGTTGGCCAGACGCGTGAGCTAAATGCCAAAAACCGAAATGGCGGGGCGGAAAAAAGAAAATCTCCAGGAAAATACAAAACGTTTTCAACATTGTGATGCAGTGGCAACGAAAATAAAATGCACCATCGACAGGGAAGGCAATAGAGATGGAGAAAGAGACAGGCAAGCTGAACCATTTGGAATTCTTATTTATCCTTTCACCGACTTCAGTTCACATTTTGTATGCAAAATGCGCCAAAGCAACTACAGTACAACAACATCAATGGCAAAGAAAAGGAAAAACCTACAATGGGGGGCAACAACAATGGAGGCTACAAAAGTCAAGCCACATGCATTCATTCATTCGGTTTACTCATTTAGTTGCAGTTCTTTTCTCTCATTGCAGCATACTGCTTGAAACGACAATTGTAGACTGCACAGGGAGAAATATTTTAAATTATTTAAATATTTTCAATCAAAGAAAAATTACAAAATATGATTTATAATATAATTTCTATGAAAATACAACAACTTTCATTAATATTTCATCACGAATAATTCCAAATGTAATTAAAGAAAATACATTTGTTGACCTATATTTTTCCCGGTTCACTGTTAACAATCGCTGTTGCGGCACTCTTGAAGATTTTGCTCGGATGCTGGTGTTGTTGCCACTATTATTATTGTTATTATTGTTGTTCCGCTGCCGAGAGCGAAGAAAGGAGCAGAGAAAGCAGAGTAAGCAAAGAAAAGCTAAGCAAACACAAGTAGCTGGCAACAATAACAAGAGCAGCAGCAACAGCAAAACAATAACAAATTGTAACATAAACTTTTGGCCGCTGGCATTTTAGTTGACTAAATGCTCGACTTAATTGGCTAACAGTCGAGGGTTGAACAGAACCAAGTTAAGAAAAAAGAGGAAAATCTGAGGCATTGAAATCCATGCTGCAGACCATTGAAAAGTCTTTGGCCTGACCCGATTTGACAAGAAAATGAGTAAAGTCATGTAAACAAATAGCCCACGCGGGTCCCAAAGAAAACCAGTTTAACTAAAAAAACAAACAGAATGTTTAAGTTTTAAGCTAAATTAAAAAAACGAATCGTTAACAAAGAAACAACTGATATTAAACACAATTAAAATAAACAAAATCAAACAATACAAATGAAAGAAAAGCAATTTAAGTGGTGACAAATATTTACACAATTAAATCAAGTTTTAAAAGGAACAAGCAAAATAATGGTAAACAAAACATAACCATATATAAAAAATACTTATGTTATTTAAAATCAATTAAACAATCGCAACACTTTGTCTAAAAAAGTAATATATTCTTTAATTAAATTTGCTCTACAATAAAACTAAATGACTTTTAAAATAAATCCACATCAATCAATCTCTCTTTTATTCGCTCATTTTTCGCCACTCGACATTGCCATCAGCTAGTTTATCTTTTTTGCATACATCAATTGCAATTTAATTGCCAACTATTTATAGAAAATAAAAGCGTTTGAAGCTGGGATGCTGTTTGCTTTGTGAAAATGCCGCCAAACGATAAAAATCAGCAACAAATCAGCTTAAAAGTGGCTCAAAAGCCTCTCTCATTTATGGCCGCAACACATGGGAATATGCAAATTTGTTGAGGCTAAATAGTTTTAGAGTCGACTGCAACACGTTCAAGTGATTGGAGGCTACTTTGGCCGGCAAATTGTTTGCCTCTGCTGTTTTATATGCCATTGCCACGCCCACGTCGACGGCAAGTGGGCGTAAGTGAGTGGCTTTATATGCACATGTGTCTGTGTCTCTGCCATGCTTAATTATTGCAAGTCAACACTTGACTACCGAGTGATTTATAAACGCTGTTATTTTCCCTGTTTATGTTGGCCCAACAATGTTGAGAGACAAGGTCGACTTCTTCTCAGCCACTCCGTTGACCACAAAATACCTGTGGGCAACGCTGCGTATACGCAATGTATGGAAAATTCAAGTAAATCACCCCAGCTAGAACATTTATGTGCGGGGACGAACAACAAATGGAATCGAGCATAATTATAAACAAAGTTTGGCCAAGGAATATAGACTGAAAAAAGGGGCGTGGCAGGCATTGCGGCAAATGGTAAAGACAGAGAGTGGGAAAAGCGGGCAGGGGGGGGACTTTAACTTCTTGGCAACAAACAGCAAACCGCAAATAGCAAAAACAAACAGGGAGTCAGACAAAAGGGGGGAGTGCATGTTTAGCAAGCCAAAATCAGAGCCAAGTTGCAAGGTTGTCCAAAAGACAACAGCAGCGGTAACAACAACAACAGTTTTGCTGTATTTAAATGGATTTTGGCAACCAGAGTTAGACAAACCCGCAAAGTGCAACAAAAACAGCAACATCAACAGATGCAGATACAAATACAGATACGGATACAGGAACAGAACACCCACAGCATCGGAATCAGCATCAGAAACCAACTTGGAAAGAGGATAACACTGGGAAATTTAATTAAGGGAAGAACAACTAAAACTGAATGGAATGCAAGACAGGTTTTCTAAAAGGCAAAGTAACTTTAACGTTAAAATTTTTGTTAGAAGGCAAGAACCTTAATTAGAAATTGTAGTTACGGCAATTTTCCATTTTATTATTTAAGGAATTCAAAAAAATATCGTCAAATGTATACCGTTATAATATTAATTTTATTAGTAATCGAATAGTAATTACAAAGATACTCATGACAGTTTTCTATTTTATTATTAAAAAAAAGTGCAAGGTATATCTTTAAAATTAAATTCAAAAAGTATCTTGATTACTTAGTATTTTTCCCAGTGCACTGATATAATGTCGCTTGCGTGTGTTAGCCAAAGTTTGCATTTGGAGTTGAGAGTTGGCCGCCGGAGTTGGAGTTGCAATTGCAGTTGAAGTTGCCAAAATACTAAATGTCTATCCGCAATGCCCACAAGCACACACAAGCCAAATCCACGTTCCCAGACATAGTAGGAGATTAAGATATATAGCTAGAGATAGGGAAAATGGGAAACGTTGAAATTCAGAGACTCAACTCGAGTAAAAATGAATAAAAACTTCAACATCTTTTTGCCACTTGCCTTAAGTTAATTTACACACTTTTCGGAGCATTTAATAATTGCATTTCAATTGCCATTAGCGGGAAAGCCTTTTAGCCCCGACACCAGTCGGCTGCCTTTTCCTAATTAGGCTGCTTCTTGGCCGGCTGCCCTTTTCCACCCGCCGACTCATTATTGCCTTCAATTAGCCAACCGCTTACTGCATAAAAATTAATTTAAATTGCTATTTAACTGACCATGCTAAGGCTTTTCCCCCCAGTCAACCACCTTGTCTTTTCTTCTTTTTCGCCCAACGAATATTTGTTGTTTTTCCGGGTGGATTTTGAGGATTTGTGAGGCAGAAGCTTTCCTAATTAATTTGTGAAAATGCCTGGGATGGAACGGTGGACAAATACAAGCTGCTCTTGATGTTTCTTATCCTTCTCCAGATGCACTTGAATTTTCATCAGGTTTAAAGGATTTTCCCCTGCATCCAGAACTTCCCTGCTAGACAATATTCGTGACATGTTGCAAACTTGTATCGCTATTTTAATAAAACCAAATTCAAAACACACAAGGACAGAGTTTGCAGAAGATTACACCAGGAACAACAAAAAAGAAGGTAGATGGCAATGATAGAACACGTTTTAATTTTGAGCACAACACGTCAGCTGGAAGCGGATGAAACTAAGGGGAAGAAAAAATCAGTTTCCCGGAAAATGTAAACTTGATTTTAGGGAACGCTGTATGTTTTATAAAGCTAATAGTTAATATAAGCAGTTTCAATATAAGCTTTTAAAGAAAGAGTTTGACTAAAGGAAAAAATAGATAGTTGTAATATAATAAGTAAAATCATGTTATATGAAAGAAGCAAGAAATTACCAATACAGTTTTTGGAAAGTTATTATAAGGTATACTTAGCTCATATAATGATGAAGTAAGCAAGGACTAATAGGAAGCCTAATAGTTATTACTGCAGTGTTAAAATACCGTCGGTACTAATAGTCGTAATGTTTTGGCTTTCCCTTATATAATTTAACATTATCCTTAAAGGCTAATGATGCCACAGCTTTAAAGTCCCACAACAAAGTAAATTTACCTGCTCAGCACAAAAATACACCCGAAAAAGAGCTAAAATAAACCGAGGAGGTGGGAATTTAACCCAGTTGCACACATTCACATCGCTCAAACGTAACGCTTGCCACCTCAACTCAAACATTTTCGCCTAGGTGTTAAAAATAAAAAGCTGTCAGTGCTGGGGACTCATTTAGTCCCTGCAGCACACATGTAAGTTTTTTGGGGGGTTGGGTTTGGGTTACCTGACTCACCAGTAATGTTCCCCCTCTCACAACCCCCTAATCCGCCCTTGGAATCAGTCCGTCCTTTATTTGCCAACCCCCCCTTTTTCCACCAACAAGAGTCACGTCCCTGGCGTTGTCATAATGAATTCAGCGTTTATGGCGCTTATTCCATTTGGTTTCATTATCAGTATGTACCTGTGACCCCCCTTCGCCACCCCCTCTGTAATGTCATGTGCGTGGCGAACGGGGGGTGGGATGGTGTCATGAACTTTTTGGCCAAAGGGGGAATGAGGGGGCTAGGGGACACAAAGCGCATTACAAACATTTGAAGTTGAAAATTGAGGCTGAAGGTTGTATTTGTGTTTTCGCTGGGACAACGTGACAGTTTCAACTTAATTACGTAATCATAGGAAATTGGTTTTTGTGAACTAGCAATCATCTAACCATTCTCTATCAACTTTGTCACTCTTGCAGGTTCGCACACTTTTTGTCAGCGGTTTGCCCATGGACGCCAAGCCGCGCGAACTTTATTTGTTATTCAGAGCCTATGAGGTGAGTGTTTTTAAAGTATTGAATGAGTAAAAACTATATTAAAATGCCTAATTTTCTTATAAACAGGGCTATGAAGGATCTCTTTTGAAAGTAACTAGCAAAAATGGCAAAACTGCATCGGTAAGTAAAGCGTTTTCGATTTTTTAAAGCTTTTTTTTATTTTTTACCTCCGTAATAATTTATATCAATATTTATAAATTAAATTTTCCGCAGCCCGTTGGCTTTGTGACATTCCATACAAGAGCTGGAGCAGAGGCAGCTAAACAAGATCTGCAGGTAACTATTAAAACAAAATCTATCTCTATACCTTGTATAATCGAAAGAACACCAACATGATTTAGCTATTTTTTTTGTGCAATACGACAAAAAGAAAATCGCGAAAAATGTATTCTCAGCGACGGCAAAAAGAATCTTACACTTTTAACATAAGAAATGTAAAGCACCCAAAAAAAGTATTTAAACTACAAAATATCAAAATACTTGTATACTCGTATTGCCTGGCTTAAATACCGTTAGGCCCCCGACGCCGCAGCTCAAGAACCGAGCTTCAAGCTCCTTTTGCATCACCCGAAAATCACAAAAAAAAAACAAAAAAACAATAGCAAACAAAACGAACAAACAAACAACAAGAATCCACAAGAACACGTGCTTGCATTTGAAAAGAAACGAAACTCTTAAATTTCACCCTATCGCATTAAGTGTTTCCCTCTCTGTCTAGCCTTCGCTGTCCCGCTCTCTCTATATATCTCTATCTCTCTGTCGTCCTATATATATCTCTTTCTCTCTCTAACTTCTCATTGAGTTGTCTTATTGTTTTTGGTATCTGCATCCCCCCTCCCTTTTATTTGCTCATTCTACGAAACTCTTTGACACGCAGAGAACACAAACACACACGTAAACTGGTACACTCATCACACTCACACACACACACACACCCTCATCTCTGGCAAAAATCTGCAAAAATGGCAAAAGCAAAAAGCACCAACAACCAAAAGAAAGCAACGACTCAAGCCTGTGGTGCATGTCCCCCCCTGCCACGCCCCCTAAAAGTCACTTTGCCCCCTTGGAAGAGCACTCTAAAATTCCTAGAACTGACTCGTAATGTTCCCTGGAGTTTTTGGCAAATAATTTTTAATGCATTCCAAAGAAACCTACGCATTTTAGGACAACAAAAGAAAAATTTCTAAAAATGTTGTTTCAAAGCAGTCTGATATAATAACGTTTTTGTGAAATAAACTTTAATTGATGAAAACTTTCTCCAAAAAATGTTACTTTATTTTTTTTGTAATCTAAAAATACATTTATTGACATTATTTTGTACAGTTAGGACCAACTTGATCTCATAAAATTTTACAACGTTCTTCCATTAAAAATAAATCGCTGCCTTGACCCCCATAAATAGCAACCCACTTAGCCAAAAACCAGCTGCCACGACCCCTACCTAAAACTCAGATTACAGAGCAGGCACCATGCAATACAAAATCTACGTTGAATGTTTCCCGTCCCAAGAACCTCAAGCAATAGCTCTCTAAAAATACAAGAAACATAATTTCTACCACCATTTTTTTTCCAAACGTTACTTTCACGCGACATTCAAAATTATTTTTGGCGAATTGTTGCAAAAGAAATACTTGAAAAATACCCCCCGAAACTTTTGAACTTTGCTGAAAGAATAAATTACATGAAAAAAAAAAAATAGAAAATACAAACCGCTGTATTTTGATCTGATCATTTACAGCAGGGTGTACGCTTCGATCCCGATATGCCCCAAACAATTCGCTTGGAATTCGCCAAGAGTAACACGAAAGTGAGCAAACCCAAACCACAGCCCAATACAGCGACAACAGCCTCACATCCTGCATTGATGCACCCACTCACTGGACGTAAGTAAAAAATAAAAAAAAAATCAAAAGAAAAACCAAATACCAAAATGAGAACTCGGCAGCTGCTAATTTCTTTAATTTTATTTCGTTTTCCTTTTGTGTATGTAGTTGATATTTATGAAAAACCGATAATATGTTTAAGGGTACAAGAAATCCGAACCGAAGGCGTACTCGAGCACCTCCTAACTATCGACAAAAAAAACCACACAAGAACACACCGAACACTCACACACTTACACACCGATCTATCCAAAAATCGAGCAGTTGAAAATGTTAAATATTGATATGGACAAAACAAAACCAACAAAACTTGCTTCAAGTGCACACAACTTTATATATATACATATAAATATCAGCAAATACGTATCGTAAATACTTTTGTATGCTAAATCTACCATATGAAATTGTTATCTCTGCATACTTCGAGTCGCTATTGAGTTATATATATATATTCCCAACTAGGTTACAGCCACATTAACTACAACTTCTATATATAATGTACCGCACTTTGATCACTTGTAACACTTTGTGCAACTCACACACACGCTCAGAAACACAAGACCATACACGCCTACAAAAAACAGAAGAAAATAAGCTAGAGAGCTAATCAGTTTTGAGACCTTAAAAAATAGTTAAATATTTATATTAATTTAATAGAGAATTCTTTAAAATTTAAACTAGAATTAAATAATTTTCTCAAGATTAAATGAAAAGATATAAGCCCTTTGGCATTTTAGATGCATTTTAATCCTAATCTCAAAAGAAAACAAAAGACTGAGACAACGAACTTTAAACATTTAAAACAATTTCTTAATATATTTTTTTTTGTTTCGTTTTGGAAACCGTTCTTGTTTTTACCATTTAGATTTTTGTCAACTAAAACCTGTGTTTAATACTCAAATAGTACCCCACTTAGGTGAGCTATCATCTGATCTACCCTACTATCTCTCTTCTCGACTCGCAGATCTGGGTGGGCCCTTCTTTCCGGGCGGACCGGAGCTATGGCATCATCCGCTAGCCTACTCGGCAGCCGCCGCCGCTGAGTTGCCGGGAGCAGCTGCCCTGCAGCATGCAACACTAGTGCATCCGGCCCTGCATCCGCAGGTGCCAGTGCGCTCCTATCTCTGACTAAATACAGACAAAGTAATGGAGCAGCCTATGCATCAAGTAAGTGGATCATATCTTTATCTATCACGATTGCCTAAGGAGAATAACCAAGATTTAAGGAGCCTGAATTACTCAAAGAGAACTGGTTAGGCATAATCACTTTTAAAAGTCAACGAATTTTGTATAATGTCAAGAAATTTGTGTGATGATTGAATATTCAATCAACTTCTATTTGGAAATTTATTAAAAATACAATGTTCGACGGGTCGTATGAGTAATATTTTTAACACTATTAAAATTAATAGACTTAAAGATTTAAAATGTACTATAACTTTGTTACTACAACTACTTAAAACAAACTAATTTATGAAATACAACTGAAAAATCTAATTTTTTAAGTGTCTTGATCTAAAGAAAATTCAGTTTTAAGCAACAGAAAAGCTTTTTTCAAAACAAAATTTAATCATAACTAGAGCGGTTCACTGAGATTAAGATATAATATCTAATTTTTCAGTAAGACTAATAAGGAAATTAAATCTTAGTTTCATATGAAATGGCAATTGTGAAATTTTATAGGTCTGGGAAAAGAACATTTTACAAAATAATCTTGTAGTATTTTAAAGTTACATGAAGAGGCAATTGTGAAATTTTTATCCAAGGAAATATGCCAGTTTATTGATAAATATTATCCTTTTCAGACTCAAATGACCATGCCGCCACATCATCAGACAACTGCTATTCATCCCGGAGCTGCGATGGCTCACATGGCTGCTGCTGCGGCGGCCGCGGCTGCCGGCGGGGGTGGGGGAGCGGCCGCGGGTGCTGCCGTGCCGCAAAGTGCCGCTGCGACGGCCGCTGCCTCAGCCGCTGCGGCCGCTGCTGCCTCGCACCACCACTATCTGTCGAGTCCGGCGCTGGCCAGTCCGGCCGGGTCCACCAACAACGCCAGCCACCCGGCCAATCCGCAGATTGCGGCCAATGCGCCCTGTTCCACGCTGTTTGTGGCCAATCTGGGCCAATTCGTGTCCGAGCATGAGCTGAAGGAGGTGTTCTCTAGGTAATTTCCATTTCCATACAAGTGACTCCAAGTCAAGACCTTGTATTTTTTTGAGACACAATGAAAATTGCACACTGAAATCAGCACAGGTGTAACCAACCAGCCACAGTAAAAACCACCCGATAACGATCACGATCACACAGTACCACCATATAACAACCACAACCACTCTCTTGATGGCACCTTGTGAACTTTTCTAACCGAATACTAACCGAAAACTTTTGCGTTCTCTTCCTTGGTTCGTTTGTTGCCCACCATCCCACCCGATCACTCTTCTTGTATGATACATGATAACCGACATATATATATCTAACAACAAATTAAATATATATACCCAACTATGATATAAACTATGCACAGTATGCCTGGCTTTTGTCGCCTACGAATGCACACAAAAGGTACGCACCCAATCACAACTTCTATGCCTATGACTTTGTCTTCAACTCTGACCTCAACAAAACCAACTTCAACTTCCTACTCCACAACAACAACAACTGCGACTGATCCTACAGCCATGGTAGCAGCAACTGGCTCAAGCTGCTCCACCAGTAACAGCAACAACAACAACAACAGCAACAACCATGGGGGCAGCAGCAACAACCACATCGCTGCGGTGCAGCAACATCCGGTGGCATTCATCGAGTTCAAGGACCCACCGACCGCATCCCAGGCCATGCAGCAGCTGCAGGGTAAATATCTGCTCAGCTCGGATCGCGGTTCCATCCGCATCGAGTTTGCGCGCAGCAAGATGATCAACGAGGTGGCCATGATGAACAGCACCAAGGCACCGCCACCACCACCGCCGTTGAGTGTTGCTGCTGCGGCACCAGCACCACCTGCACCACCAGCACCCATGTACATCCTGAGCGGCGGCGGTGGAGTTGAGCATTTGCTGGTGCCTGCACCATCGCCGCAGACCCAGCAGCACCAGCAGCAGCAACTCCAGATGCAGCAGCTGCAGCAGCAACTGCAACTGCAGCAGCAACATCAGCACATGCAGCAGCAACACCATCAGCAGCAGCAGCAACTCCAGCTGACCGTGGCAGCACCCTGCACCACTGCAAGCACCACCACCAACAGCACCACCACTAGCGTTGTTGTTAACTCACTACAGCACCACCAACTTCATCATCCAAATCAGCATCACCAAAATCATCTCTTTAGAGACGTATGTATTATTCTGGGTGAACCAAATGAACCAAGTTTCTTCTAAGTCTGTGTAGAGTAGTCTAACCCTAGATTGAGAGCCCCACAACCACCAGCATTATCATTAGTTGATCCACATCCGCTGAATTGCACACACACACATATACACCCTTTAGCCCATAAATATTAGAATAAGCCATTCAATCCGCAAAAAGGTTTTGCCAGGCCCTAAAAATCCCTCATATGCATGACCCCAAACATAAACCCAGAAACGTAAACAAAATAAAAGGGAACCCTATTAAGTATTTATAACAAATTTTGCAAATTGTTATTGTTAAGCTTGCTCGTTTACTTTGCATGCTACCTCCACCACCAACACCACAACAACAGCAGCAACATCAGCAGCAAGCAACAACCCAGCAGCCATCAGCAACAACAAGTAAGAACCTACCTAAGGGATGGCCAAAACCATATGAATTTTGGTCCGGAGCACTCACACACCTAACCCAACAATTGGAGCCGCATTTAAATACAAATTATAGCACACAAAAAGTTAGCAGGCCAACAACATTTATGGCTCAAAGAGAGGGAGGGAAGGGGATGGAAAGGTAGTGCTGGTGGGACTTCCTCATAGACATCCGTTTTCTAAATGCCAGCTTCCGTTGGGAGACTGCACCCACCCACCGACTTAAGCACCACTATATCTCTCCCTCCACATGTGGGGAGTGTGACTCACGTATTTCAAATGCCAAAAGACCACATAAATTTATTTTTTCAATTTGCTGCAAGAAAAAGCAACAGCAGCAGCAACTTTATAAAAAATGCAAAAATTAAACGCAGCATGCCACACCCATATTGCCATACACATAACCACTTGAATGCCCCACCAACTTAACCACTGCAGCAACAACGTTAAACGTTCGAGCTTTAAACCACTTTTGTTCAAGGCATGAACTTTTCTTAACTTTATTGTGGGTTGTTTGCCTGACAACCCATTTACATATTGAGGGGTGAGCCCGTTTAAGCTGCAATATATTTAAAAACTACAAATTGGATAATGGTGCTTTAGAAAAAATTAAATCCTTTTACATCATTTTAAAGTAATACTAAAATATATTTTATTGCTTTTAAGTTAAAAATTACTAGTCCACTTTTACTAAAAATATTTTAAAATATATTTTAAATAATCATTTTTAGTCTTCTCTTAACCCTTTTTAAAATATTTTTTTAAACGGTTTTAAAATTATTTCAAGTCCACGCATGGGTAATCACTCATAGTCACTAAGGTAGCCAGCATGTTTAGCCAACCAGCACCACCGAAACTCGTAGCTGAACCACCCACACTGACAAAAACTAACTATTGCTTTCGTTTTGACAATTCTTTTCAGAGGAGCGGGTATGGAATCACGGCATGATTTGCTCGCTAAGAAGCTAGAGCGTGAAATGCAGCAGCAGCAGACGCAAGTGCATCACCAGCAGCAGCAGCAGCAACAGCAGCATCACTACCACCACAGCCACCAGACAGCGCACCACCAGCACCACCAACAGCAGCAGCAGCAGCAGCAACAGCAACAACAGCAGCAGGCACAACAGCAACACCTGAGCCACCACCACCACCACCATCACCATCATCAGCAGCACCATCAGCAGCAACAGTTCTTGATGACGCCGACAGCAACCTGACCCGGTGGCAACCTGAGCCACCACTATGCGACCACCACGCAGCACCACCAACACCTTCACCACCAGCCGCACCACCAACAGCAGCAGCAGATGCAGCCGCACCACATCTATTCATACGTGCTGCCGGCGGTCAGTCACATAGCAGCCTGATGGAATCACATTTGAGTTTGAAGATCTAGGGCAAACAAAGCTCCGCATGCAACGGATTCATGCGAGGAGGCAAACCTTTAGTTCTAGATATAACAAAAAAACATTTAAAAAATGCAAAAAAAAACTACAAAAAACCAAATGGAAAAAATGCAAAAAGAAGTTAATTTATATGTGACAGAAGAAGGACAAGAAGATGAAGAAAAAGCAGACCCCGTATAACCCAGTTTAGTGAAATTTTTCGACAGGCAACAAAAAAGATTTGTAGTGGAAACCAAAAACGGGATAAACTTGTAGTAAAATATACAATTTACGATAGATCGGAAGCTGAGCGAACTACTTAACTAAGTTAGTTGCAATACAGCCGATATGCCCCTATAAACGAATACACATATATACATAAACCTATATATATATAAATTATATATAGCATGCTGATCAAGAATTTGTTGGTTATTTTACACCTTTACAATGTTGCTTTTTTAGCTTGATGAATTGATTTTGTTCAAGAGTTTTTGTTTGAAGCAGCAATGTTTCTTTTTAATCGTTAGTACTCCCTCATTCATCCCCGAACTTAACCGACTTTCAACAAATGGAATTGAGACATGAAATTCGTATAATTTGTATAGTTTCGATCTGTTTTTCGTCGATATATCAAGCAGTGTAAGGGAATAAAATATAAACAAAGTATAAGGATGAAGAAAAGTATATAATTATAGCTTAACCGAATGTGCCCTTTAAATAGCTCTCTTTCTAGAATTATGAAAAATAATATGAAACAAAACCAAAACAATTTAAATATATGCATTAATGTAATAATTGTATAACTAGTAAGGTAATTTTCAAAATGTTACTCAACAAGAAAATTCTACAAAACAACCACAACGAGTAGTCGACGTCATCGTATAAATTTAAATTTATATTGAGGAATACTGAAAGCTGGTTTCGAAATTTATTTGTTAAAAACGTAAGAATAACAACATTTAGATGTGAATTTGAAATTTACCCGATACGACCTATCGACGACTTGGTATGAACGTTGCAGGTGCGCTGTCGTGAAGCAAAGACTCGAAAACGAAAAACGATTTTTAACAAACAGGAAAAGCTGAAACGGAACTTTAACAGAAACTGGCACAGGACACTCTAAACTTTCCGCCCAGAAAAGAATATGTTTTCTTTCACCACTTTTGTTGAGAATTTTCTGCGTTTCCCCTACAAAGACTTGACTAACTTTACTAGAGGGCCCCCAACCAAAAGGACTCCATCTAAATATTGAGAAACTATTCCTAACTAACTTTCGAAATGCTAGAACAATCAAATCACATTTCTTGCTAAACCAACGATCGATTTAGTGGGGGGAGGACGGAGGATGAGATCGGATGGGGAGGGATCGGAAATAGTGGGTGGGTGGGGAGAGTGTAGACGAGGTAACAGCAAACAAGGACGAGTAAATAAAATCAATTGCATATCATCTTACGTAGCAAGCATAAATCGAGTATGTATAACTACAAAAAAGGACAAAGACAAATTCAATTGTAACTAAGCGCAAGAAAACAGCAGAAACCAACTACAATTAATTGTAAAACAATGTAAAGCTTAAAGGCTAACAACTATATATAGTTAAATACGAGAAACAATTTATAAGCAAGCTTTTTACATAATAATTTTCTAATGTTTGTCGAAAGAGTTCGTTCAGCCTTGTTTAAACCAATTTAAGTATATATAAATACGGATAAAATCTTACAATTTTACCAAAGTTGTCCTTACTAATTTAACAAGTTATGTTAATTACTTCACACACAATTTGTTAAACAAAAAACAGAAAAGACCCACGAGTAAATCAACTAATTTTAAATGTTTTTTAAAGCTTAGTTTAGGCTAAATGTGACTAGACATACCAAAGGCATATTTGACAAAAAAAAAAACACAATTGTTAAGAGAAAATATGAAAAAAGAATATTAATTGGTAAAGTTTTAGCCCTTTTCTACACATTTTCTTTATATATTTACCTATTTTATTTCCTGTCTAACTTTAGTCGAATGTAAAATGCATATTCCGTCCAATTACATTTCGTGCTTTCCTCTTGCCCAAAAAAATCATCTCTTCGCCAGCATCGCGTTGGTTTGAAAAGCATCATCATTCGAAGTTAAGAACAGAGGTCTACTTATAAGTCTGTAATCCCAACACACACACACACTCACACGCTCACCACAAAGACAAGTAAATTAGTTAAAGTTCTAGTGTATAAGCAAGAAAATGTTTAAATATACATAATATACTAATGCATATCATAAAATTGCGCCTTTCAAAACAATTAAGAAAAACAAAAGCAAACAAGAAGCCCGATGAAGGAAAACAAAAATATTTACAACTACAAATAAGCATTATAACGAAACAAAAATTAATAGATGCTAAAGTATGAAACAAATATTTTCGAAATTAATTTTTAGCGCCTAAGTGTGGCCAATGCGCCCAAAAGTATGCAACAAAAGAAGCAATGGAAATACGCATAAGTGTGTGAGTGTGCATGTGTGTGTGTGTGCGTCTGGGAAAATCTTGTGCAATTTTCATTGACGACAGAAAGGAAAGAGGGAAAACCAGCGCGATGGCAAGGTTGTTCAGTCCCCACCCCCAAAAACCATTTCGAGGCTTGATTTCCAGACATTCTTTAATCTAAATTTCATAGCTATATACATCCAGATCTTACAAATCTGCAGCATGCAAATATTAAACTAGAAAATTGGGAATATCTTAACAACACCAGAAGAAGCAAAAGAGGAAAAACCTAGCTCGTAAACGATAAACTAAAGAAAGCTAAAATGAATGAATGACAGAAAACCTAAACTAAACAATATGAATTATGGGAACATTATATGAATATATATACACACACATATATTACATTTTTGAAACAAACGAAAACTAAATAATAATTACAAAGAAGGAAAAAATAACAAATACATATCAGCAAACGGATAAAGAACAAAATAAGAAGAAACTTTTACAAGAAAAATTATTAAGGAAAAATAAAACCGATATGTTTTGATGTGGTTTTTAAATTTTTAAACATTGTAAGCGTAAAAAGGCAGAAAAGCAGTTACCAAAAAAAAGGGGGAAGAAAGCATAACTGATTGAAAGCTTAGTAATAGATTACGGAACTACTTACATAAATGCTAGCTATATGCTTACATAGTAACGGCATATCTACATATGTGGCAGCAGTAATAGAAAGACAGTAAACAGTAACAGTAATGGTTAAACAGTAACAGTAACAATATTATATTCTATTGTATTTATTGTGTTTGGTATAATTTGCATCTCGAAAATATCGTTTGATTATTCGTTTACTTTAAGTTTCCTCCAAAATTGCCTTATGTTTGCCTAAAAAACTAAATTATAAACAATTCAATACTAATTTCTAAGTAATTTATATGTATATGTATTGTATACCTCTATTGTAAACCCATATATAAATATACTTATATCATTTGTGTAGCCTTAACTTAGAACTTTTCAATTGACGGTATTAATTATGCATAATAAAACTTTAAATTTTGTTCGTTAAACAAATTATTTATTGTTTCATTTGAACTCAAACACACACGCGATAAACCTTTGAAGAAACGAATTTTAAATTAGTGAAAATTTTTGCAAGAAAATTAAAACCAACTATACAATTACAAATATTATACTACATATATGATCTCTCCCCACTTAAAGTTTTGAGTCATTTGCGGGAGAGCCAACTATAGAAGCATTATACTCAACCACAACTGGCTATGGACAGATCAGAGAAAATCGCTGTACATTTGTAATACATAACGTATCTATAGAGAGTTAAGTAGGAAAGGAAAATGATATTGAATATTGAAAATATCAAGGCAGAGGTAGTGGAAAACCAGAGCGGAAATGAAGATAACACAAGTCAAAACATATCAAACTCGTGCCCGATTAAAACTATATATACACATATATATATATACACTATATATAAATGAAAAGCAGCCACAAATTATGCGCAGCAATTTTCAATGGTATAACAAGATGAAAATGATGAAATTATTAAACATAAACCGAAAGTCTAACGGGAAAATGCAATTTTTATTTGCATAACTCAAAGTTGAGTCTACTTTTATCCGTAAATAATACGAAAATAATGATTAATATTAATTAAAATATGAAAACTACAACAAATGGCAAATATTTGTCTATTTTGAGGCTCATTTATTTAACATTTTCGCGAAACAAAAGTACGACTTTCTTTTTAAAAATCGAATAAATTTCTTTTTGCTAATATTGTAAAAAACAAATTGATTTTTCAAAGCAAGTGAAAATGAAAAACTTATAGCTAAATATTATTATAAAACTTACATAAAGCAGAAACAAAACTCGTATATATATAAATATAAATATCAGCCTTGTTCTTTATATATATATATATTTAAAAAAACAAAAAAATGAAAAAACCATACAAAATATTAATAAATTATTAACTACTATAAAAAAATGAATACAAAAACATAAAAAATATTTAGCGAAAATATTGTATTGTGAGTTTAAATGTATTGTTGCATACGAAACCAAAGAAACGACATAACAAATCGGTACAGATAAGTTAAATGTAAAACTAAATGGCAATACCAACCGATTGGCAGCGACAGTTGATTGACAAGAACAGAACCGAAAGTTCAGAGGCAAACCGAAACAGAATGAAAGGTGAACCATTTTTTCACAGACATCAACCAGCGATAAGAACTAAAACGAAATTGAATTCAATTAAAATTACCAAGCAGATTATTTCAATTCAATAATAGCAGATGGGCCAGCCCGCAAGACAAATTATACAATTTGATAATGATAATATTTTCAAGCGATCTCGATCGATGAGGCACAAACGATATGCCCTGCAGCTAAAAGGGAAGCAGAACAACAAATCGCAGTTTGCAGCAGGCGACAAATTATAATAATAATAATACGAATAATAAATAAAAACTTTAACAATTGTTTTGTGTAATTGTAAAGAACTGGAATTTGTTGTGGCAGAAGATGGACTGGGCGAAAGTGGATCGGCTAGCAGGGGTTTGTATTATGCGGTATCATGACTTCAGAATAAATTGAATATGCCTTCTAAATGCATTTTTATATTCTATTAAATCTAAATTCCTGAAAAATTATTTTTCTAAATAGTTATATAGATTTTTTAAAATATAATGTAAAAAGACTTTTTAAATCATTTGAATTTTATAGGGTATATTATATATTCGGTGTAGCTGCATTTTTGCTTATCGCTCAGCTCTGTGTTCGAATGATCTTTGGCAATAAGTTGCTAACCCCTCAGATGGCAGACAATGTGTTGATAAGCTGACTACAAAGAAAACCCAGAACGGGTCACTTATTTGCACGTCCAGTTTTAAGATAAAACAGGTAAAACATTAAGATACCCGAGCCTTTATTTGCTTTAACCTTTTTACCTTGTGAAGAAATGGAATGAGATTGACAAAGCTTTATTTTTCGATTGAGACACCCTGTTTGGGGGCAGCGGTTGATTGGTTTGGGCTCATTATCTCTCATTCAGTTGTTTTCCGACCGAGCAACTTGAAGGTTGTAAAATGAGATCTCTGTGCTTTGTCTTGCTGATCGTTTGGTTTTCATGCCAAAATGGAGCTAGTGCTAAGGTATCCTGCAAGGATGAGTCTGGAAACGATGTGGATTGGTATGTATACATATAGAACTTAGAACTTATCAAAAGAATAATATATTTGCACTAAAAAGTGTGTTCGATTGTAAATAATGACATTTTAAAACATTTTTTTGTTTGATTGATAATGCTGTTTACAGGCCACTAAACATTTGCAAATATAGACACTCATTTATATGGTATTATAGCTATAATGAGATCAATTGCTAAAATAGTTAAACAACTATATTAATATTTAGTTATAGTTCATTAAAATGTGATTATAGAACTATTTTTATTTCGTTGAGAAGTCTGATAGAAATCAATTGTTATAGAAATCAATATACTATTGGAGAACGAATTTTATAAAATCTGTAAAAAATTTTCTTTTAAGGCAGTTTTTAAAACGTTTAGACGTTTTTTTTTTAAATGGATTGATAATAATGATTTAAAACCATTTTAGATATTGTTTGGAGCTACTATATTATTGTTATCTGATATTATTCCCCTTTTTTAGGTGGCACCTTTACAAGTTGCCCAAGCACTACCAGCACAATGACTTGGGCAAGGACACCAGTGGCCTGAAGTATCTGTACGTAACAAGCCAGAGCTACGACACCTGGCAAATGTCCGGGAAGTTCATCAGTGACCCCTTGTCCCTGCCAGCCCAGACCCTGAATCCCCTGAATGCCGATCCCACCCACACTCTGCTAGCCGCCTACAACGATCAGCTGCCGAATGGAACTGTCTTCAGCACTGGAGGTCATGCCAAGGGAGTTGTGGCCAGTGATGGTGTGACTGCGATTTGGATTGTTCACTCGGTGCCCAAGTACCCCACTGTACCCGACTACACCTATCCCACTTCCGGCGAGCAATACGCCCAGAGTATGCTCTGCATTACGCTCAAGGCCGAGGATCTGGAGAAGGTCGGTCAGGTGTTGGTCTACAACGAACCGCACTTCTATTACGAAAGAAATCCCCTGGTCAGTCGGTCGGATGAACTATTTCCGAGCTTGGAGAGGGCCCTACATGGCCAATGGCGTACGGAATCGCCGTTCCAGAAGGAGGTGGAACTGCGCACTTTGGATGGCAAGAAGTTCCGATTGTTCGGAAAGAGTGGACGTGCCAATGTGGAGCTATATGCCGATGTGGTGGCCCCTGCTCTGGATGTCAGTCTGTTTGTGGAGGCGTGGCGCGATGGAACCGGCAATTTGCCCAATAGCTGCGATAAATCCGATAAGGTCCTTAATGTGGAGGCTATATCCAGTCCGGAGCTATCTGTGGACTTCCGGACCACCCAAGATCATTCCAAGTGGGCAGTTTCTCGTCCCACGGGTGTACTGATCTACCATTGGCGCGTTGGAGGTGGCGATTGGATATGCGTGGGCGACATCAACCGCCAGCAGGGTCAGTTGCAACGAGGAGGTGGAACTGTTTGCCACAAGAGCTCGAGGGTCTCCAACTTGTACCGCCAGCTAGTCGCCAATTTCGACAAGTGTGCCGAAGTGCAGTAAAATTCCGGTCTTTTTCTTGATTTCGCAAAATAAATAATTTGTTTAAATACTATAAAAAATAAATAAAAGTTGATTCCTCAAAACATAACAAATTTAATAAATAAATAAGTTATATTTTTAAGGAACTAAATGAAATTTTTGTAAGTTTGTATTTCAAATAAATCTTTTTATTTGAGTATCATTGTATAGGAGCTACATTCTTATAGGAGCTACAAAATAAATTCGTACGATCGGTTTTTAAGTCTGCAGCGCCTTTTCCCTATTTACATTTTGGCGGGCATTCTATGTACTAGGCCAACTATTGTACACTCACAAAGTAGATGGCGCCAGGCGGTCTATTAGCGCCACCTATGTTTCACTACATTTGTTTAATACTTCACAGTATTAAATTAATACCAGATAACACAACATTCAGTAAGACCGTTTGCAACACAAACAGCTGTTTACAAAAACAAAACCAAACGAAACAGCGAAAAATATTTGCAATTTATCAAATCTAAATTAAATAAGGTTAACACGAGCTCAGTTGGAAGAACAACATCGATTTAGGTATGTTCTGCTGCCTACGCACCTGTCTCAATGGCGGACACATGAGGAAGCCCACGGCAGCTGCGAGTCGTCTCCGGGAGCCCGATGTTCACCTTGATGCAGCACATATGGGTAAATTTTAATGGCACAACACAGTTTTTAAATATCATAAGGAGAGATATCCTTAACAAGCAGTATTATACTTTTTACACTAATCGAACCTTTGACGATCCTGTGTTCATTTCTTAAGACAGTAATATTGTCATGTTTAGTAAGTTTGGTTTGATGATAATTAACAACAATAAAGATAGAGACATTGAAAATTTCCATTAGAACTAGATATAATAATCATAATATTGGGAAAAAGTTGTAAAGTTGTAACAGTAAAGTTATTTGGCTTTGATCCATTTGGTCCCTTATATAGATTCTAAATAGGTCATTTCTTTTAACTGATTAATATCCCTCCACTTTGCAGGACCTGATGTAATCCTGCTGTCTCATCAGCTGCGGGTTACAGGCACCGGTGGCGTTTTGGCCACCGCTCCCTTGGTCCAATCGAAATCCTATTTCGAGGTGAAGATCCAGCAGGGAGGCAGTTGGTCCGTGGGACTGGCAACCCGGCAAACGGATCTCAGTCGCAAGAGCGGAGGTGGGGATCGCGAATCCTGGTGCCTGTGCTCTGACAATGCCACGCGTCACAATGACCAGGAGGAGTTTCGACCGGTGGTGCAGGCAGCCTGCACCACCCAACCATCAAGGACGACCAATGGGATCCTGAACAACAGTGCTGCCAAGGCGGCTGGTCTCATCGCCATTGAGGATCTGCAGCAAGAAGATCTGCTGATGACCACCGGGGTGGCATCATCTGATGTTGGCATCGGTGATTCATTAGTTACATCGCCACCGCGTGATTTTCCCGACGAGGGTGACATTGTGGGCATAGCCTTCGATCATGTGGAGCTAAATTTCTATTTCAATGGAAAAAATCTGGAGGTTCCCTTCCGGAATGTGCGGGGCGCAGCATTATTTCCCGTAATCTATGGTAAGGTTATTTTCTATTATAGTAAATCAACCGAATCTAAAATATCTCTTTCAGTGGGCAACGGCGCCATTCTGGACATTATTTTGGACAATTTTTCGCATGGTCCTCCACCTGGATTTGAGCGTATACTTCTGGAACAGTCGTTACTTTAAAAAGTCCATAAAAAAGCCTTGAACAAATGAACAGCTTGAGAACAAAAAACATTGAAGAGATAACGAAAAGACAGTGCGTTTTAGGACTATAGGACAGGACTTAATTGCCGAAACGTAAAGCCTTTAGAGTAAGTTAATCAACGAGCACTTAATTCAACACATTCGTTAATTTATTTTTGACATTTTGATGTAAAGATTTTGATCGTATAGACATATAATATAAGTTTCAAAAGACATGCGATAATCATTGGGACTATAAGCACTTAATTAAAATCACCATTTGCCATGTTTCCTCTCTAGTCAAAAAAATGAACATTTAGGATACATTTGAATAATTTGCATCTTATAGTCGTAAAATGCACTGTTTTACTCATTGACATCAAGTGTATAAACTTTGTAACCTCTCTAGTCCTTATACTCCCCAAACCGAAATGTATTTCTTTTATTTTACTAATATTTTGTAAATTATTTACGTAGCTTGACCTCGCGACTGCTTTTGTATTATACACAGACATACTTATATACAGATATGAATTTTTTTGTAGTATCTAGATCGCCACAAATCAATTCTGACTTCATACACATTCCAATTTACAATGGCAACGTACTCGAGCACGGAATTACCTAACTAACCTTAAGAATATATCTGTATATCTAAATAAATTATATCTACATGTATCAAACGCTTTGAAAACTGATTTATCCGCGCGCGGACAATAAATGAATGTTATGTACTTAAACAATTCGTAAGAAAAGTTTTCCTAGTTCAGTTTGTCAATGAAAATTTGGTTTGATTAAGTTTCGAAAAAGTATTTCTCCAATGGTAGAAAATTAATGGTTGAGATTAAGATATGACACATGTCCGGAAAGGGGGAGATCATTCAGATACACATCGGTCAGGCTGGTGTGCAGATAGCCAACGCCTGTTGGGAGCTCTTTTGCCTGGAGCACGGAATTTTGGCCAATGGAAGACTTACGCAAACACCGATGGACGACTCATTCCTGACATTTTTTGAGCTCACCAGCAGCCAACCATGCGTACAGCCTCGACTCGTTATGATCGACACCGAGCCCACAGTAATAGGTCTGTTTCTAAAAAAGCCCTGGCATTTTTGAAATAATTTATATCCTTCTCTGCAGATGAGATCCGCACAGGTTCCTACCGCAATCTCTTTCATCCGGATACCCTGATCTCGGGCAAAGACGATAGTGGCAGTAACTTCGCCCGGGGCTATAATCTTATGGCCAGCGAGTTGTTGGATCGCTCCATGAATGCCATTCGTCGCGTGGCCGATCGCTGCAGGAACCTCAGGGGCTTTCTGGTCTTCCGGGCGATTGGCGGTGGTTCCGGTTCTGGGTTAGGCACCCGCATAATGGAGAGACTCGTAGATGACTTTGGCAAAAAGATGACCGTTGTAGAATTTCTGGTCTATCCCTCGCCTTCGTAAGTTTGGGATCTCTTATCAGCATTGATTAAATGGGGGGAAATATTCATTCTTATCTGATACGAAAATTTGATCTATTTAATATTTCGGTATTTGGTATATTTTTAACTAGCGTGATCTCTTTTATACCCAGGATCTCTCCGGTTATTGTGGAGCCCTACAATGCCCTGCTGGCTGCCCATTTCTCAATGGACTGCACTGACGTCTCGTTTATTGTGGATAACGAGGCATTGTACGACATTTGTGCTAATACCCTGAATGTCCCTGCACCCACATATACAAATCTGAATAGAATCATCGGACAGGTGGTTTCCAGCTTCACAGCCTCACAGCGTTTTGGCGGAGGATCGACCGTAAGTTTTCAGGAGCTGCAGACGAACCTTGTGCCATATCCGCGAATCCACTATCCGCTAATCAACTACGCGCCATTGGTTCCCGTTACGCACTCGCAGTTCGTCAATATGTCGACGGCCCAGCTTACGGGTCAGTGTTTCCAGATGAGCAACCAAATGGTGAGGTGTAATCCAAGTCACGGCAAGTACATGGCAAGTGTCCTCCTCTACCGCGGGGACATAGCCCCCAATGAGATCAATACGGCGCTGGAGAACATTAAGAGGAACAGGTCTTTTAGATTCGTTGACTGGTCGCCCACGGGCTTTAAGATCGGCGTGAGCCCCATGCCGCCGTATTATGTCCCTGGCGGGGATCTGGCGCCCACCAATCGCGCCTGCGTAGCGATCTCGAACAACACGAACATCCGGATCGCCTGGTGCCGCCTGGTCAATAAGTTCGACAAGTTGTACCAACGGCGGGCCTTCGTCTATCACTATGTGGGCGAAGGGCTGGAGGAGGGAAACTTCAACGAGGCCTCCGAGAATATCTGCCAGCTGGTGCACGACTACCTGGAGGTGGATGCATCGGCTCCTACATCGCGTCGCGAATCCGATCCGGAAGAAGAGTAGAGACCATTGAATATATTGACTATCTCCCATTTCATGTATATTTTTTTTTTTAACAAAATAATATTTAGGTAAATTCTCGGTGTGAAATTGGGCATTTTTTTTCATCTTCCAGATAATAGTATATTTTAATGTAGCTCACATAGGGAGGGAGAGGGTCTCGTTTGATAAGCCATCCGCATCAGCAGCGAAATTGAAAAAGCTAAGCAAAATCATTGAATATTTGGCATCGGAAGAGAGAAGCTCGATTTGTGCGACGCCAAATTAAATCAAAACGCAACCAAAAAAGCTCTTATCAGGTACCAAAAAATATACAAATAGATCCAAGACAAGACAGACGTAAACCTTTGACTTTTTCTAATTGTCAAGTTATGGAGCTTAAGTCACCGGTCTGGATGAAGTGCGGTCTTCTCTTCACCCTGGTCATGATGGTGATCTTTGTAGAGTCTACAGACACAGATGGCAAGGTTGCACTTACGCAGAAAGAAATATTTAATATTGAGCGACGATTGCAAAAAGAAATAGAGCAGATAGATGAGTATGAAAATACGGGAGCTGCCACGGTGAGTCGAATCTAGTTACAATCAATTGAGAATTACTAAAAAATCAACGGATTTTAGTACGTGAGACTTCCGGCGTCTGCCGTTGAACCAAACAGTCGTTTAGGGATATTATTTCGAACGTATTATATAGACAACGTACAGCTTCCACTGAATAGGCTATCATTGGATTTCAGCACATTGTTAGAATATACACGCGAGTCTACGGTTCCGGTATTGATAAAATTGTTTGCAGAGGAACAGTTTTTAAGAAAACACCCAGAGAAAAGTTTCAATTTCGGTTTCCATATTACATTTTACTATAGATTTGATAGTTTTGTAGCAGAGCTGGCGAATGGCAATCAGGTAAGATCAATTAATAAGCTTCCCGGATTTTTTATCGAACATATCATTTTCTTTTAAGCTGAACCCCAATATTACCTGCAGGGCTCTCCATTCGCCCCAGCAATTCCTTTACTCTTTCTATATGGCTAGCGTGCTATACGCATCAAAGGAACACGCCTTAATTCAGTGGTCCAATCTAATCCTACATAAGACGGCAGGCAGTACTTATGCCTTCTATGAAAAAGAAGCTAGGGAAGAATACGAGAAGCGGTTGGATCGTGTGCAGACTGTGATAAAGGATCTTATAGTCACTGCGGATCGCAAAGTTTGGCGCTGCGATCCGGAGGAACACAAGCTGGGGGAAACCTACGAGAGGGTCACCCGCTTCTTGCAAGGATATATCTCTAATGAGGTGGATTTAAGCAAGGACGAGACTTGCATGAACGAGTGTGCCGACTACAAATTCACTAGATATGAGGGATACACCGAAAGTCCTTTCTCTCCCACGCACTCCAGATGCTCTGGTAACGTCCATGATTGCCGCTATGTAGAGTCGGATATGAGGGTGTGTGAGGCCGATCATGGCTCCGATAGGCGGTACGAGTTCATCCAGTACGAGAGCGGACTCGTGTACGGCCAAAAGGACGTTTGCAGCAATTGGTTTCCCAATGTAGAAAGCTGGCATCGCTGGATCTTCTGGAGATGCAGCTACTGCCTGTGTTTGTGCGATGATACTAGCGATCAGTCAGATCGCTTCTTTAGCCTAAGACCTGTGCTATCCGATGTGCAGAGGAACAGGTGAGCTTCATAGAATATATATATTTTATAGGGTATAAAGATGATATAACCTACTTTTATTTAACAGAGTCGTGACGGGCCTGCGATTCGTGAAGCTTAATCGCATTTTCCATCTGCAGATACAGGAGGGTGAGCTCTTGCCACATGGAATCATCAACCAGACCGAATGGAAGCCCGTAGACGAGTTCAATGTTCAAAGTGTTTGGAAGGACATAGACTATCACGAGCTTAGCTATAAAAGTCGTTCCATTGACCTGGATGAGGTGAAAGTGGAAAACAATTCTGTGGTTACCGGACTGCGTTTCCAAAAGGTGGGAACCCATCTTAACTTACAGGCCCGGTTCAGCGAAATCGATTTTGAGAGCGGCCAGCTAAGAGGGGACAGCTACTGGAAGTTAGGGGGCGGCGATCAACCAAGGTTATTTTTCTAAAATCTTTAAATTACTTGATTTGTATCCCTAATCACAAATTGCTCATTTTTTAAAGGCAAAAATTGCACCTGGAGAATACCAACGTCCCCACGCGATCCAACTCTACAGTTCCACTTTCAAGCGATAACCAGTACATTGATTTTACCAATACTGGATTTAAAGATGATGCTGCCCAGACGACAGTGCCCTTCATCGATATCCAGGAAGTAACCTCGGACCCACCGGTACCGCTCTCGGGAATCGGTATATATTACAAGGGCCTTCATGGCTTTGGTGGCTTCCTGGCTCCCAAGCTCATCACCTATGACTACTCGCCCTACATCCAAGTGCCCACATGGGCTTCCTCTAGTTTGCCTGATGAAATAACATCATCAGATGAAAATACATCGTCAGATATAAAGATATCATCAGATGAAGAGACACCATTAGATGAAAATATATTATCAGATGAAAAGACACCATCAGATGAAGAGCCAGAAAACTTTGATGATTACTATAACGAATAAAAACAAATTAAGTTTCTTCAACGAAAAAAAAAGTTTCGCCATTTAAAATACATTTCCAAAATAAGGAATCACAGAAAATTTTGATAACAAAACTTTTTTTTATGAACTAGTAATATTATATCTGAAAATTATTTAATAAAATATGGTCAAAAATATTAAATCAAATGTAATTTAAATATGTCTGTAAATTTTAAAATATATTTATTTGTCGAGAGTATTTTCCGATTCGTTCTTTAAGTCGTTATTGTTTTTCTTTTTTGAGGCTTTCGTCAGCTTGAAACCGTTGGCCAAATTAAGTATTTATGGTTGGCTTAAACAAACATTGACCCAGCCTGTAATTTGCGTTGCTTGACCCCAACCCTAAAAAAGGAAGGAGGAGGGGGCTATATCGAGCTGAGGGGCGTGGCCAGCCAAGCCGATATGGGGTATAATTAAAATGATCGCAGCCCGAGGGTTTAGCACGTACCGAGGCAAAAGTCGCGCTTATCGCGATCGCACCCAGGGCAAGGTCTCTCCGATCCGGCATCTTCGGATCATCTTGAACCCGTGATGCCTGGAGGTTCCCTTAACCCCCTGGTGGACCCTCCGATTTCTGTGTGACGTGACTTACGCACGCTTAATGCTCGATTATCGATGAAGGGATCTTGGCCAGCACGCAGACCGCTCACTTGGCCATCTTATCAGCGAGCTGGCTGGCTGACTTTTGGTGTGGTCCTTTCGCAGGATGACCGCTGTTATTAAAGGCATTATCATTATGAGATCCCGGTGCCTTTCCGCCAATTCCTTTGTGTGTTAACTGTTGCTAATCTTAAATTGAAGTCGAGCCTTTTGCTTTTGTTTTGCAGCGTGAGAACCGCTGCGTGTGGCTCCGATCGAGAGGTCTCCTTTCTTTTTTTATTTTTCAGGGGGTGTTAATGAGCTAAAGGAAATGCCACAGGACCACCTTGGGTCCCGAGTGTTAGTCGGAATTGAGCTGTTACTTCGATCGACATGGGCTAATAAAGCAATTTGGTTAAATTGCCAAAAGGAAAAATGGGCATTCCAAAAAAAAGGGGTAGAAATAAAAAAGGAAAATAAGAATGGCGGGAGGGCGATGACGACCCCTGTGCCACAACATTTGAAATATCTAGTTAACTCTGGGGCCGCTCTGACCTCCTTTATTTATGCACTAATCCGTGGGAAATGCTCGTCGAGACACCTGGGGCCGATTTATGCCACAAACGAAGCGAACAAAAGGAACAACAACCATTGCAGGCCTGCACCCGCAACAAAAAAAGAGACAGCAATAAAATATATGGCAATTAAGTCGATCAACTAATGCTCTATATGGCTATTCAAGAAGTACTATAGGTTCCTTATACCCAATAAATTTGAAATATATTTGTAGGTCCTTTTTGTAAAAGATTTAAGTCAAGAATACGGTTCTCACATTACAGCCCTAAAATGTAATTTAAATGTTCCGAAAACTAAAGTTAGGAATAGAGCAAAAAAATTTCTTCTCTCATTATTGACCATTTCCTTGATCTGTTCTATCTATTGAATAAAGTCCCTAAAAGTTTGATTGACAAAAAGGATCAGACTTATACCAACTTTGATTAAATATGTCAAGACAATTTCAGCAATCATCATAGCCCACTGAAATAGGGTATACCGGAGAGGTAAAAATATTAAACAACCGTCGAGTGAATTAATAAAGCGCCTTGCGAGGCGGCCACGCATTAAACGACACACACCGCAGAAAACATTGCAACGAATCCAGGCAGGAAGAGCTCTATTCCGAGGACCCATGCCACATGTGTTCGGGTTCGAATAGATGCCACATGACTGACCACTCCAATGCACTGCACTCCACTTTTGTTGTTGTCCGTTTCTTTCATTTTTTTCGTAGCCGAGGGCAAACATTTTGGAATTGCAATTTTCGACTTCATTTCCAGGCTTTGAACGCCTTGCATTTGGTTTTTTTTTTCCTCTGCGTTTGGCAAGGAGACTTTGAGTTCGAGGCACAAGGCAACACCTACCAAAGGCACCAAGAAAACCAAATGGGCAGAAAAACACAACAGCCTGCTGAGCCAACGGTGGGCGGTTGAAACTGAGGCAGGGAACATGGGGGAGGGGACTTCACACTCTGAAAAAATCATATGTGATTTAAAAATTTTTTGAAGAATAATACAGATGGCAATTTCTTGAATGGGTTCGAAAATTTGTTTTTAAAGAGAGAATTTTTTAATATGTCTAGAAAGATATCCGAAATGCAAGCTTTTATTTTTTAAGCTATAGCTTAATTTTTGACAAAAATCTGAATTTTGTATTTGTGACAAAAATTTTAACTCTTTTTTCGCCATAAAAATTCAGTTTGTTGGCTGCCATAACAAAAATATAAGTCAGAATTGAGGAATGTCATACCTCGTTGAGCTCG